AAAATAGAGGGTGAAAGCAAGCATATTTTTTCATGATTATTTTGGCCCCTTCAGTCAGTACAATGTTCTTTTGAACAGAAGAATGTCTGTACTCTGGAGGAAATTCTTTTATCACATCCTTGCTGACAGGGCTCACAATATTTATTGAAAGTTTCAGCTGTTACTTCGGTATAAATAAACAGGATGAAGTGGGCAGCCGACTGCACATTAGGGATCTTTTTAGACGGGGTTGGCTTTGCAGACTGGAAGGGTATTTCAAGGAGAGAGCACCTCGTCCCAGAATAGCCCACCACGGGCTCAGACTCAGCGTGGCCTCAGCATGGGGTCCCTGGTGTCACAGGTCCCTGGGTCAGGGGTCCTTCCCATCCTGGCTGGCCAGCCCGGAGGCGGCAGCACCTCCTTCTAGGGACATCCCAGCTTCATTCCTCAGGCAGAGCGTAGGGAACAACATTTAGGACTGACTGTGTGTCACTGCGTCTGCAGAACACCTAAACTACACGTTGATTCAGTGGGTCTGAGGTGGGGAAAAAGACGACCATTCAAGCTAGTGTTTGTAACATGCAGCCCTGTGGTTGATGGACAACCAGCTCAAAAGTCTGGACTTTGGTTTTTAATAATACCCGACACACTTGCACTTACCTTGTGCCAGGCCCTTGACGTGTGCTAATTCATCTTTTTCACAATGAGACCCAGTCTGTCCTGACTTCCCCTGGCTTTTTCCACTTCTGTTTTCTACGTGGAACACGAGTCCTCGTTCACTTGGAAAAACCACACACCCCTGTGGGCACGGGTCCTGCACACCCTCCACTGCCTCTGCCCACCCTCTCCCCTGTTGTGCCCCATCCACTTAGCTGCTCACGTGGACTGAGGGAGGCCCTGTGTGCCCTGTGCACTTGGGGTCGTGACCCAGAGGGCAGCCAGGGCAGAAAAAACAGCGACCTAGCGATTGAGAGACCGTATGGTAGGTGCTGGAGTAGAGGGGTGCTTGGGTGCTGGAGAGGCCCCAAACTTTTCCTTTCAACAGCCTTTCAATACCTCTCTGAGCAGTTCCTCGATGTTAACTTACGGCTTCTGTTCCACGTACTCACTTCCTGGATAAAGTAAGGAAAAGTATATTTTATATATCTTCAGTTTTCCTGTTTAGGGAGCTCTTCATTTCTTTGTATGGGTCCAAAATTTCTTCTGTTATATTCCTTTGACTGAAGAACTTTCTTTAACATTTCATGAAGCACAGGTCTGGTGGCAATGAATTCTATAAGCATTTTTTCTGAAAAGGTCTTTGTTGCAAAGCTCATATTTGAAAGATACTTTTGCTGAGCAGAGGATTCTGGGTAGACAGGGGTTTGGGGCCCCACCCCCTAGTACTTGAAAAATGCCACACATCGTCTTCCAGCTTGCATAGTCTCAGTAAGAAGTCTGCTGTAGTTCACATCACCCATTCCTCTGTAGGTGTCTTTCTTCCTGAATGACTCCAAGACTTTTTTCTTGGATTTTTTTCATCATCTTTGTTTTTCAGCAGTTTTACTTTAATATCTAGGTGGCTGTTTGTTTGTTGTTGCTGTTGTTTTGTTTTTTTTATCCTGTTTTTTTTTGGGGGGGGGGTTCTCTGGCCTTCTTGGATTTGTGATTTTTCATCTCATTATTTTTGGAAAATTCTCAGCTATTATCTCTTAAATATTTCTTCTGCCCAATTCCTTCTCCTTTCGGAACTCAAATTACAAGCTGGAGTTGACATCATTGACAGTGCTGTTAATTTACCACAGCTCTTGGATGCTCTATGTTTTTCTTTTGTTTCAGTTTGGGTAATTCTACTGACCACCTTCACATTCGCTAATTCTCTCCTCAGATGTCAAGTCTGATGATGAGCTCATCAAAGATGGACTCTCTGATACTGTGGGGTTCCCCCCCACCCCCCAGCATTTCTCTTTGACTTTCTTACAGTTTCCATCTCTCTGCTGAAATTCTCTATCTGTTCATGCATATTTTCTACCTTCTCAACCAGTCCCTTTATCGTATTAATATATTTTTAAGTCCCTGTACGATAGTTACCATATCTGGGTCATCTCTGAGTCTGCTTCTGTTGATTGCTTTATCTTTTGACAATGGGTCCCAATGTTTTATTTTTTTATTTAGTTAGTTTATTTAATTTATTTATTTTTGGCTGCGTTGGGTTTTCACTGCTGCACGCAGGCTTTCTCTAGTTGCGGCGAGCAGGGGCTACTCTTCGTTGCGGTGTGTGGGCTTCTCACTGCAGTGGCTTCTCTTGTTGCGGAGCACGGGCTCTAGGTGTGCGGACTTCAGTAGTTGTGGCACACGGGCTCAGTAGTTGTGGCTTGCAGGCTCCAGAGTGCTGGCTCAGTAGCTGTAGTGCATGGGCCCAGTTGCTCCACAGCATGTGGGATCTTCCCAGACTAGGGCACGAACCCGTGTCCCCTGCACCGGCAGGCGGATTCTCAACCACTGCGCCACCAGGGAAGCCCTGTTGCTTGTTTATACCAGGTTTGTACTGGGAGAGAGGGAGGGGTTCCCCCTCTCCTGGTCCAGCTTCAGCTTAGAAGAGGCCACCGTGCCCTCAACCTCAGGATTCCTGCTTCTTCTCCCTGTGGCAGGCGGGCTCCGCCCCGTACCTGTGGGGGCTTGGTGGGAGATTCCTGCCACTCCCCCAGTGGTAGGAGACCTCAGTTTGGTATCTTGCAGGCTCCTAGGTCCAGGCTGGCTTCCTGCTGCTCTCCCAGGGGAAGAGAGCCTTTTACCCATCCTTCTCCCAGGCACCGTGTGCCTTCTTGCGCCCTGGAGCTAACAGGCTGTGCTGCCCCTCCCTCGGCGCAAGGCTTTGCTCCCTGGAGAGAAGGGTCTGGGGAACTAGGAAGGGCTTCAGGCCTGTTCAGCTGAAGCCACTGATCGTCAGGATCAGCTGCTCATCCCCCAGGGGCCCAAGCCTGTTGCTGCTTCTGTGAGAAGGGTTCGGGAAATGTGTGGTGTTTGTGCCTGCCCCTAACCTTTCTCACGAGCACCCCCCGGAGCCTCATGGGAAAGAGCAGATGGTCATGGAACCCCGCTCACCACATCTGGGGCCCCAGAAATTCCAGAATGACCCTCCAGCCCACGCTAAACAGTTCAGCTATTATGTAGCTGGTACAGCAGCTGCGTCTTTCTCCTCCTTGAAACTCAGGTTACTTTGCTGCCTTGCAGTCTCAGCTCCCTGATGGACTCAAGAAAATGTATGTTTTTGTAGTTTCTTCAGCTTTTTTTGCTGTTCGTATGGGATCAACACTCTGTGTTGCTTTCTCCATCCTGAGCAGAAGTGACACTTTCTGGAAACTACTGAATACATTTTAATTTCCCCCAACACTGAATCTTCATTTCTTAAAAAACAGGGGCTTCCTTGGTGGCTCAGCGGTTAAGAATCCGCCTGTCAATGCCAGGGACACGGATTCGAGCCCTGGTCCGGAAAGATCCCACATTGCTATGGAGCACTAAGCCCGTGCACCACAAATACTGAGACCGTGTGCCACAACTACTAAGCCCGTACGCCACAACTACTGAGCCTGCGCACCTAGAGCCCGCAAGCCACAACTGCTGAGCCCACATGCCACAACTACTGAAGCCCGTGTGCCTAGAGCACATGCTCTGCAACAAGAGAAGCCACCGCAATGAGATGCCCGCGCACCGCAACAGAGAGTAGTCCCCACTCGCCGCAACTAGAGAAAGCCTGCACACAGCAACGAAGACCCAATGCAGCCAAAAATAAATAAATAAATTTTTAAAAAAAATTAAATTAAATTAAAAAAACAATTTACTCAAAAAATTAAACACAGACTTATGATATGATCCAGCAATTCCACTTCTGGATATACAGCCAAAAGAATTGAAAGCCGAGATTCGAGTAGATAATTGCACACCCATGTTCATAGCAGCAGCATTTGTCACAATAGCTAAAACATGGAAGCAACCTGAATGTCCGTCAATGGATGGATAAACAAAATTAAGTATGTATGAGCAATGGAATATTATTCAGCCTTAAAAAGGAAGGAAATTCTGACCCAGGCTACAACATGGATGAACCTGGAGGACACTGTGTTCAGTGAAATAAGCCAATCACAAAAGGACAAATATTGATTGTAGAGCCAACTTATATGAGGTGCCTGGAGTACTCAGATTTCATAGAGACAGAAGGCAGATGGGAATTGCCAGGGACTGGAGGGAGAAATGGGGATGAGTGTTCAATGGGGACAGAGTTTCTGTTTGGGAATGAAATAGTTCTGGAGATGGATGGTGGTGATGGTTGCAGGACAATGGAATAGTACTTAATGCCACTGGACTGTACAGGTAAAAATGGTTGAAATGGTACATTTTATGTTCTTTATATTTTACCACAATTTTTTTATTAAAAATTTACTGGTTCTTGCCATGTGCTGGGTACTCTTCTAGGTACTGGGATTACAGAGGTGAACAAAATAGACAAAATCCCTGACCTCGTGGTGTCTACATTCAATAAGCAAAATAAATCTGTAACCTGCTACAGTGAAGGGTGACAGTGCTGTGGGAAACTCTTCAGCAAGCGTGGGAAGATGAGGGGTGGGAGGCCTCACAGTGAGTCCTGTGGACACCTGGGGGGCTTTCAGGCTGGGGGGGGGGTGTCTGCTCGGGGTGATGCAGACAGCAAGGGGCTCAAGAGGCTGCATAGGGCTCGCTGTCCCAGGCTGCCTTCTGAAGACGCCTGGCTGGTCCACCTTCTCATTTTCCCTTGGTGTGGCATCCCAGCTCCTGGAATCCCTTAGCCCCAGCTTGCCTTCTGGGGTGTGAGCACGTGCAGGACATCTAGGGAACCCGCACAGGACCCGCGCAGGACCTGTGTCTCTCAAGCCAGGGCCACCGCCTCAGGGTTTGGACTTTGGGGGAGCTTGCCCCAGTGGGGAGTGAGGTGGGGAGCCCCTGGCTGGAGTCCCACCTTGATCCCCTGCCCACCAGGGACTGACGACCTGCTTCTCCATCTGCAGGAGCTACGAAGAGCTCTCGGACTGCACCAGGCACGTGGCGCAAAAGCTGGACTGCTTCTGGCCAAACGCGGCGGTGGACAGGTTCTTCCTGTCCGTCCACCGCCACTACTTCAGAGACTGCCCCGTCTCAGGCAGGGCCTTGCAGGACCCGCCCAGCAGCGTCCTCTGCCCCTTCATCGTGGCGCCCATCCTGGTGACCCTGCTCGTGACGGCACTGGTGGTCTGGAGGAGCAGGCGCCTGGAGGGCATCTTGTAGGCTGGGGGCTCCCGCGCCCAGCAGGGGAGGGGGAGGGCTGTCGCTCATGGAGGCTGCTGGGCAGGCCAGAGTGTGGGCGTGGGGGCCGAGCCTGGCCAAGGCTTCTGGGACTCCAGTGGCAGAGCAGACCCCCGGTCCCCTCTTCTACCCAAGAAGAGCTCACAGCAGGATTCTGGCGTGGTCACAGCACAGGCATTGACCTAGAAGCCACCCTAGGAAGGGCAGCCCAGGTGCTGGGAGGGAGCAGAGCGTAGCTGTCAGTGTGTCTGGGGAGGGTTCTGAGCTGTCTCCCAAGGTGTTTCTGAACCACCCCCTGGCTCGATCATGGATAAGTAGTTTGTGATTAAAGGATGTGCTTGAATTTGGGAAGCGTCATTCTTTCTGGATGTGGACCCTCGGGAGTAGAAGGATGGGAGAAACTCTAGCCCCTTTGGATTTTGTCTTTCTCTGACAGGAGACGCCCTCACAGGTACCTATATGGGGGACGATGATGGTGAGGCCCCATGGGGGCTGAGCGCTGTGCGTGCGCTGAAGCTGCTCCCCGGGATTCTGACGCCCCGGCCCCTTCCCCGCCACTCTGTCTAGAACTACTGGCTCAATGGGCTGCGACTGGCAGACAGGAGGAGGCCAGGTCTGCTCAGTTTTTACTGAGGCCCCTTCCCAAAGATGCCTCGCCAGCCCCCGGTCCAGGCACCCACCTCCATTCTGTCCCCCAGGGTCTCAGCGGCTATTTCCTTTGCACCCATCCAGGCTGCTGCTGCGCCCCATTCACCATGCTTCCCAAGCTCCAGCTTCCAGAAGGTTCTGGATCTCCAAAGGGAGCTCCCTGCACCGTCCCTCCCAGATGGCTCCTGAGCTCAGAACCCCCCTCTGAGGTCCCTACAGCCCCCAACTGGCTGCAGCGCCACCGGCCCAGCACCTGCCCCTTCTCAGGCCCACTGCCCTCCGCGTCGGCCTCCCCTCCTCCCAGCTGGACAGCCACCCAGACACGGGGCCAAGGCCACGGCCCCCGAGCTCTTCAACATTAGCTGAACCCGCGCTGGGGTTGAACGGGCCGGAACCCCGCCAAGGCGCCCCAGTGGCGACGGGCCCGGGGCTGGGCCTCGCCGGCCCGAGAGCCCCGACCGTCCCCCTGGGCAGCCCCCTGCAGCGACGACGGGCCATCCCTCGGGGCGTCCCGCGTCCGTACTCCGGAGCCCGGGGCGGGCTGGCCCGGCTCCTCGGCCTCCCCACGGCGCGGACTCGGCGCCAGAGCAGCTGCCCCCGAGGACGCGGACGCCTCGGGGGGCGTAGGTCCTCCTCCCGGAAAAGGGTCGGCAGAGGGGCGGCCGGGAGCAGGCGGGGCCGGCAGCGGGTGCCGCGGTCGGGGCGGGACCGGGGGCGGGACTGGGGGCGGGGCGGGTCCCGACGAGCCTCGTCCCTCGGCAGCAGGGCGGCGGTGCGCACGCGCAAGGACAACCCCGCCGGCCTCTGGGGAATCACTCCGTGACCTGTGACACGTGCGTTTGCCGGAGGCGGCGCTTCGGAACCGCGGCCCCTGCTTCCCTCCTGCAGGTCCGGCCGCTCGCGGTGATTCGCGGGGACTCCTCCCCTTCGGCACCGCAGGGCGTGCCCGACCCCTGACCCCTGACCCCCGAACCCCGCAGGCCCTCGCCCACAGCCCGCACGGCCCAAGGCCCAGCGCTGAGCAAGGGGTCCTTCCAGAGTCAGTTTTCCGACTGTGGCGTCTTCAGGGACCGGGCCGTGCCTCCCCACGTGCTTTGCTGGCCGGAGGTGCGTGGGGTGGGGTCGGGGTCGCCCTTGGTGGAAAGGCGTCTCCTGCCTCAGGTCTTCCAAAGTGGCCACTCACTTCTGCACCACCGACGGCAAGTTAATGAGATTTTCCAGTTTTGACCAAGGAAAGTAACCTTCTGCGGGACAGCAGGCCACTTGTTTCTCACATTTCAATATGTAGCCCCGTATGACCGTTTTCACTCGAAAGAAAACGGACTGAGGGGAGCTGGTCCCTACGAGGCAGAGGACAGTTTTATCCGAAGAATGTGTCTTCCAAGCGCTGTCGTCTGAAAGGTCTGCTCTGAAAGCAGTCACCTAATTTCATGAAGTCAGAATGTCGCGTGTTCCGGAAAAACGATTGGGTACCTGTTTTCAAACCTTTGTAAGTGTATTTCCTGCCATCATAGCCTATGAAGACTAATCGTGTTAAACCCGACAGAAAAGGCCAAGCTCAGCCACGCGACAGCCTTCCTACTGTCCCCCCCCGCATGGCTCTGTGCCCGCACCTCCTCGTCCATAAAGTGGGGAGGGTAATGGGGTCTCCCTCGAAGGGGGATGCGTTAATTAAGTAAAATGTCGTAGCCCCAGGTTTCCGCCCGCATGGGATTCTGATGAGGCGGTTGTTGGCACGGCACCTATGAGCTGGGGAAGGTTCTAGATGCCAGGAGGGTCTCAGGAGGGTCGGCGAAGCCATGGGGGGTCCCTGCGCCAAAGCCCGCAGCCCGGAGACCCGGCGAGCAGGCCTGCCTTGACTCGCCCACTCCCCGCTCTCGCGAAGGGCCTCGTGGAGTGTGGCCTGCAGATAAAGGCCCGATGGGTAGCTGGGCTGGCAGGGGGCCGTGGGGCAGCCCCACTCCCGGTGATGGAGGGCCTGCCAGGCTCCTCCTCCTCAGGAACCACCCCCGCAAAGCGCAGAGCGCAGGCACACACTGCGCGCTCAATGGTAACTGTTAGTATTAAAACGTTCTACAGCCCGTGTCACTAACGCTAAACAATATCATTATTTTAAAATTATCCAAGCTAACGGAAGAGAACAGTGATTGATCATTTTTAAGTATTTTTCAGGTTTATTAAATATGTTTTAAAGTACACAAAAATTGGGTCTTGTCTTTAGAGACAATTTTTTTTTTTAATTGAAGTCTAGTTGATTTACAATGTTGTGTTTCCGGTGCACAGCACAGTGACTCAGTTATAAATATGTATATCTATTCTTTTTCACATTGTTTTCCATTATAGGTTATTACAAGATATTGAATATAGTTCTCGGTGCTATACGGTAAGACCTTGTTGTTTACCTATTTTATATATAGTAGTTTGTATCTGCTAATCCCAGATTCCTAATTTATACCCCCCCTTCCCCTTTGGTAACCATAAGCTTGTTTTCCATGTCTGTGAGTCTGTTTCCGTCTTGCAAATAAGTTCATTTGTATCATTTTTTTTAGATTCCACATATAAGTGCTATCATATGATATTTGTCTTTGTCTATATGACTTATTTCACTTAGTATGCTAATATCTAGGTCCCTCCATGTTGCTGCAAATGGCATTATTTCATTCTTTCTTGTGGCTGAGTAATATTGCATTGTATATGTGTACCACATCTTCTTTATCCATTCATCTGTCAGTGGACATTGAGGTTGCTTCCATGTCCTGGCTATTGTAAATAGAGCTACAATTAACATTTTGGTACATGACTCTTTTTGAATTATGGTTTTCTCAGGGTATATGCCCAGTAGTGGGATTGCTGGGTCATATGGTATTTCTATTTTTAGTTTTTTAAGGAACCTCCATACTGTTCTCCATAGTGGCTGTGTCAATTTACATTCCCACTAACAGTGCAGGAGGGTTCCCTTTTCTCCACACCCTCTCCAGCATTTGTTGTCTGTAGATTTTTTGATGATGGCCATTCTGACAGGTGTGAGGTGATACCTCAAGGTAGTTTTGATTTGCATTTCTCTAATGATTAGCGACGTTGAGCCTCTTTTCATGTGCCCGTTGGCCACCTGTGTGAGACAGAATCTTTTTTGCTAGATAGAGTTTCACTAGATGTTGCGTTGTTGTGTGCACACATGGTGTGCGGTCTCTACCCTCTCAGCACGGTTTCAGGTGTTCAGTGGCGTCTTGTTCACTGTCGGCACGATGCCGTGCACCAGGTCTCCAGAACTGATTGATGTTGCTTCACTGAAATTCTGTGCCCCTTGATTAGCAGCTCCCCATTTCCGTCTCCCCCCAGCCCTTGGCAACCACCATTCCACTCTTTGATTCTATGAATTTGACTATTTTAGGTACCTCTTGTAAATAGAGTTCTGCAGTATTTGTCTTTCTTTGACTGGCTTATCTCATTTAGCATAATGTCTTCAAGATTCATCCATGTTGTCACATATGACAAGATTTCCCTCCTTTTTAAGGCGAGTAATATTTTGCTGTATGGATAGATCACACTTTGTTTATCCCTTCATCTCTTGATGGACATATAAGTTGTTTGCACAGCTTGGCTATTGTGGATAATTTTTAAACATTTAGGTTGGACTTTGGAATGTGTGTTTGTAAGTACATTTGAGTATTTGTGCACCTGATCTGGAACTTTCCTTCAAGTGAAATAGTTCTGCTGTAAAGGTATAGGAGGACCCGGAGAGCATTCAGGTTTCCCTCTTCCTCGTCAGGTCACCAGTCTTGGCTGGCATGGAGGCCAGGTTCTGCTCGCCGGGGGCTTTCCGTCCAGTCTGGGTTTGCGGTCAAGCGTCTGCACGTCACAGGGCTGAGGGCAGAGAACCCAACGCCAGTGAATAAGGTGCTTAATGAGAATTAATAAACCAAAGCAGGATTTCTGTATCATTAGTTTGTTTGAGATTTTATTATAAATAAACATATAAACAAACACAAGTGACTTTCTTATTACACTCAGCCCTTCTGCATCCTCAGATAGAGGGCCAGTTGCAAGGGACTTGAGCCTCTGCAGATTTTGGTATGTATGGGGGTCCTGGACCCCATCCCCTGAGGATACCAAGGGACAATTGTAGTTTCCTAGGCCTGCCTTTAACAAATTACCGCAAGCCAGGTGGCTTAAAAATGACAGAATGTGTTTTCCCTCACAGTTTTCTGGAGGCTAGACGTCCCGAGTTCGAGGTTCTGTCAGGGCCACGCTCTCCCTCAGGGCTCCAGGGGAGGGTCCCTCCCGCCTCTTCCAGCCTCTGCTCATGTTGGCATTCGTCGGTGTTCCCCGGCTCCGAGCTGCGTCCCAC